AAGGGAGGAAATGCCCAAGGGAATACGGTATGTTTTTCTGTCAAATCTGAACCTAGATTTGGCCATCTGAACACTTACAGAACTAGAAAGGAAGGAGGGAACACCGTGATGAGCAGAGGCACCTTGACCTGGATTAGAGCAGACATCACTGTCTGGTGGGAAATACACATCACTGGAGGGCAGGAACAGTATAGCTAGTGAGCATGGTCAGGTTTGAAGCTGATGAACGGGCGTGTGCACAGCTGAACATGTGCATGTACATGCACTGGCCCTGCCTTATTGCCTGCTTCTGAAGAGGCAGAGATAGAGTGGACCAGAAGCCACAAACCTGGTGTTTAGCCCTGGCTTTCCCACTCGCCACCTGAGGCCGTTAGGCAAGTTGCTTCTCCTTTCGAGACACCAGGGAGTTGGACTAGCTGAGGTCCATGTTCCCCCACCCCTACTCTGGCCCTCTCCAGAGCATGTGGGTCTGTGCCTTAGCAGCAGAATAAGGCATTTTTAACGAGAGTCTCTTTTTCAGGACTCTTTCAGAGTCCTGAGCTGTTAGGACCTACCAGGGTCCTGCAGAGAAGAGGGAGCTTATATGATGGAGGTTGAGATGACCACTTACCTCACAGGTCTCTCTCCTAAGAATCCATGAGGGACAGTACTTTTTAAGATCAAAATGGAGTTAATTTTCTCAGGCAAGTTACCAGAAAAGCGATTTTCCATTGTAGGAATTTAGAGCACCATCGCACACACTGAGCACAGAAAGCTCTTGCGTTCTGATCTCTAAGAACTTCCATTCATTTTAGTGCTCAATGAACTTGCACGTTTTCCCATTACCCCTTTCATAAAAAAAAAAAATCATTTTTAAAGCAGAATTGCTTTTCTCCTTGAACTCTTCACCAAGGTTGCTTCGATACCCATCTAGGAGTGGCTCCTAACTTATTGTTAACCTGTTAATGGGAGCGATAAAAAATATAGAAAGGCAAAGGCTATTTGAATGAGAAATATTTCTGTAAATCCCCTGGGATTGGAAGGTGGAGCAGTGGCTCTAACAGTAGCTCCGTTGCCAGTTTCAGACTAACAGGTTTGGCAATGATGTTTTGTTAGCAGCAGTTAATCAGCGAATCCCATTACTTAATAAGGTTATCACTCTTAGCAAAAGCTGCAAATTAGTTTCTTTTTCTCCAGGCTGAAGATAACATCCTTAAAATTTTGCATCTACAAGTAGTATCTTGTTAGCAGAAACCAGGTAAACAGAAGCTCACGGAAAATGCCATTTGTGTGCAATTCCGGCTAATGTTTTTATCCAAATACTTCAGTCATGTTAGCCTGCAGCCTCCCTTCTCCCTCATCATTCGGTGCCTGTGCGGACTGTGAATCAGAGATGGGTAGGAAGCTGCTTCTTTGTTCATCACCAGCTGCGGGAAACACTGTCGTGTCCACCGAGAAAAAATTCATGGGCTTGTAAAGCTTGGCTAAGTCACCACCAACCCCGGGTCTGTCTGCCCCTCAGCCTTAAAGGAGGTTTTCCAGTGATTTAGTGACCCAGGAGCTGCTTTCTCTCAACAAAACCACTTCCATCAACCCCCACGACTCTCACTTCCTATCTGGGCACAGGGCACCCAGGGTGGCCCATGAACTGTGCCTCCCCGCCCTCTGGGGTCTCCTCACTGCACCCCTTAGCTCCTGCCGAGTGTAAATCCCCCATAGCCTTATTGGCCACACCTCCCCGGTGCAAGCTCACAGGTATTCACCCATCCCTTTTCCCGTGGGGCCTGGGAACCTCGGAGGAGGACCGAGTGATGCTAAACACGTTGGCATCAGCCTTGACCTCCTACCAGGATGGCGTCACGTCCCAGTGGAAGGGGAGGCGGTGTGATGGGGAGTTATGTCCTGTAGCTGACGGCAAGTGCTGCGGCGGCCCCTTGGGAAGGGGGGCAAGGGAAGCGCTTCCCTGCATGCACAATTCAGGATGAGAGGTGCAGGGGGAAAGCGTCTAAGGGCCAGGAGACCGTGCGGCCGCCACCGCAGGTCAGGGCGGCGGGGCTGCGTCTGAGCGCCACGCCTACACTCACAGGGGTACACCCAGCAGACCTGCTCTTCCAGCTCCACAGCGCTCCACTCCACAGTCCAGCTGCCCTGTTTTGTTTGCTTGTTTTTTCCTTCTGGCTCGAGAGGCCCAGGGGGGATGGATAGGAAGGCCTTCCTGGGATGCGTGTGTTGCGCACATGCGCGGAGTCTCTACCTCAGTCCAGTGGTCGATGCCATTTTCCCTCCCGCCCGTTTTCTCCCCGCCCTGCCCCTCTTGCCCACTGGCTCCCACACCTCCTCTAGCTCCTAGCATTTCTTAGAGCTGCATATAATTTCCCCTAGGAGGGACTTTGTGTTTTCTGGCTGAAGGATTCTTTACACATTTCCAGTCACTTTCCCCTTTGTGTCGCACCTCAGCATCCTCCCCACACTTGGCTGTTGGAGCATTTTTCTTTTTCCTGGTGTTTTATTCCCTCCTCTTGTCTCCTCCACCCCCCACTGCAGTGAGAACATCTCTGTGTGTGTCTCTCAGCTTTACATTTTCCACCAGCAAACACACTTCCAAGGGCCTTAGTGACTTGTGAACATTCCTTCCAAACTAGTCTCCTGGAAACAGGATGGCAGATGAAAGATTTCTTCATTAAAATTAGACACTTTAAGAGGCATTCGGTAAAAGCTCCAAGAATCCCCAACGGGCCTCTGACTAGTGAGGGGGCCAGAAGGAGGCCTGGGTTTTGGGAAAGGCCAACGCCAAGCACACAAGCACACTGGGATTCTGTCCCCCTCTTTCTGACACAGAATTCCTTCCCCCGGAGCAGGGAGGTTTTGAACCTCGTGGGTTGTTGCTTCCTACTCATTGTTCACACTGACTCCTTCTTGAAACAGCTAGTCTGGGGGCAGGGACTGGAGGTCCTCATGACCCACTGTTCTTGGAGAACAGAATATGATTTATGGCTTGCAGAGCGGGTCGAGGTTTGGGATGTAATTCCAACCAGAGATTTCCCATTTGGACTCCTAATGTTTGATTATGCAGCTGGGCGGCGCCCCTCTAAAAGGCAGCTTTCTCGACATGAGCCAGTTCCCAGCTGGGGGTTTTCACTGGACCAGCAGCATGCAGTGGGAGCTTGGAGGAAACTCCTGGGCAGGGCCTTAGGAAACTCGGGGCCTGGGAAAGTGGTTTCTGACTCTGACTGAAAGCAAGCAAGCAAGCAAGAGGCACCAAACTGACTTCTGAACCAGGCTCGGTACTGGGTGCTGCATGCACGACAAACATCTCGCTGATTCCTCAAATGCCTCTGCTTTGAGGGCACGTGGCAAACAGGCTCAGGGCACATTCCTGGGGCAAACCAGACCGCCTGCGGGGCTGGCAGGAACCCCTGTCTTCCTGTAAAATCTTTGGTGCTTCCATGAGGACCCAAGGCTGGGTGGTCCAGTCTTGTGGTTGGGCCTCAGTCCTAGGCAATATCCACCCCTCTCACAGGCCAGGCCTCAGACCAGGTGGACCCTTTTTACTTCTTTCAGGGACTTAGGATATAAGTCTCTAAAAAGCCGCTGAGGTGCCAAGCACAAAAATGGACAGAGATTCTATTTTTTGCCACCTGGCCCACCTGAAGGAGGCCAAGGATAAAACTCTTTCTCAGCAGGTGCGCACACACACTCAGCACAGCAGCAGATTTGTCCCATGCTTTACTGTAGACCATTGTTGTATTCAACGTTCAAGCAAACTATTAGGATGGACATCCATGCCGGAATACTGAATCCTGAGACACAGATGCATGGGAACCAAGTCTTTCTTATGCAGCCTACAGTCCCTCCTCCTCAGTCCAGTCTCTCAAGAGCCACTTCACATGAGCGCGCATTGTTTCTGCCAGCAGACGGGAGCCAGGTCCTACAACCTTTGGCGTGTAAGGCACTCTCCTCCCAAAGCATGGACTGTGTTTCCTCATTTTATGCTGAGATCTGACTCTGGCTATTGACCTGGAAACAACAGGGGTTGGGGTGGAGGTCAGGAGGGAGATCTTGAAAAGTACATGTAGTGTCTTGCGAGGCTTCGGAGGATGTCTTTACATTGGCTCCAGGCAAAGGAAAGCTGTTTTTCTTTTTAAATATTTATTTATTATTTATTGATTGATGGATTTAGAGAGTCCATGCAAGCACAAGCAGGGGAGGGGCAGAGAGAGAGAGAGAGAGAGAGAGAGAGTGGGAGAGAGGGAGAGAGAATCCCAAGCAGTTTCCAAATTCTATGCAGAGCCTGACGCAGGGCTCGATCTCACAACTGTGAGATCAGGACCTGAGCTGAAATCCAGAGTCAGATGCTTAACCCACTGAGCCACCCAGACACCCCAGGAAGCCATTTTTCTATATCACATAAGAGAGGCCTGCTTGTGCTGGCCTGGAGAATTAAGGATAGTAATGAAGATTCTTAGACACTTCCAATCAGTGTCCGGATCCCAGATCTCAGGGTCCCACTCTTTATCACTTTTAGGGCAGTGAAATTGACATGGGAGACCTAAGGCTTCACATTCAGTATACTTTGCAGCTTTGCTACTCTTGCTATCAGACCTTGGGGCTGATTTTCAGCAGTTTGTCCCGTAGATATAGGACATAAAAGTAAAGGACTGCCATAGAGGTGCTCTGGCTTTCCCAGCATGCTGTATGTTGGCAGTAAGCTGTCCTGAATACTTTTTTATCAAGTGTTGTAATACCATCAATGGCAGCCAGCACCTACCACAATCCTTATAATTGCCCCATTCTAGCGATCAGAAGCCATGGCAAATGCATACGCCAGTGGTTCTCAAATTTGGCTGCATATAAGAATCACCTGGTGAGGGAAATACAAATCAAAGCCACAATGAGATACCACCTCATACCAGTCAGAATGGCTAAAATTAATGACTCAGGAAACAACAGATGTTGGCAAGGATGTGGAGAAAGGGGTACCCTTTTGCATTATTGGTGGGAATGCAAACTGGTGCAGCCACTCTGGAAAACAGTATGGAGGTTCCTCAAAAAATTAAAAAAAAAAAAAAAAAACTACCCTACGACCCAGCAATTGCACGACTAGGTATTTATTGAAAGGATACAAAAATGCTGGTTTGAAGGGGTACATGCACCCCAATGTTTATAGCAGCGCTATCAACAACAGCCAATCTATTTGGAGTCCAAATGTCCATCAACTGATGAATGCATCCAGAAGATGTGGTACACACACACACACACACACACACACACACAATGGAATATTACACAGCTATCAAAAGGAATGAAGTCTTGCCATTTGCAGCAACGTGGATGGAACTAGAGTATATTATGCTAAGCAAAATAAGTCATGCAGAGAAAGACAAATACCATATGACTTCACACATATGTGGAATTTAAGAAACAAAACAGATGAATGTAGGGAAGGGAAGGAAAAGTCAGATAAAAACAGAGAGGGAGGCAAACCCTAAGAGTCTCTTGAATACGGAGAACAGACTGAGGGTTGCTGGAGAGGAGGTGGGTGGGGGCATGGGCTTTAAGGAGGGCACTTGTTGGGATGAGCACTGGGTGTTATATGTGAGTGATGAATCACTAAATTCTACTCCTGAAACTATTATTACACTATATGTTAACTACTTGAATTTAAATAAGGTAATAAAAAATAATAATAAATAAATTTTAAAAAGAATCACCTGGGGCGCCTGGGTGGCTCAGTCAGTTAAGCGTCTGACTTCGGGTCGGGTCATGATCTCACAGTTTGTGAGTTCAAGCCCCACGTCGAGCTCTACGTTGACAGCTCAGAGCCTGGAGCCTGTTTCAGATTCTGTGTCTCCCTCTCTCTCTGCCCCTCCCCCACTTGTGCTCTGTCTCTCTCTGTCTCTCAAAAATAAATACATGTAAAAAAGTGTGAAAAAAAAAAAGAGTCACCTGGTGATCTTCAAAAAATATTAACACCTGGTTTCCACCTATAGAAAGCTTCCTTTCACCGGTATGAGGTGGGCTTATTTTAAAGCTTCCCCACATAAGTTTAATGTGGTGCAATTTGGAAACCACTGGCATATCCCTCATCCTGGCATACTGCCTCATCACTGCCTCATCTTCCACTTCTACTGCATTGCTGTGAACACAGGTGAGAGCTTTGGTGACATCACTGCACACCAGGTGTTTTTACCAGTCCATTTACCATCAGCAGTGGGGCCCTTTCCATCAGACAAGTGGGCAGGCAGTTCAACTCCAAACTCCCACCCTGAGGGTCTGCTTCATAGGGCCACGCTTGGAACTATCTCTGCCCACATTCCCTAGACAACAGAGGCCGAGCAAAAGCTTATACGCTAAGACCTTATTGCAGAATAGAATTCCAGGGAAGCAGAAGTGAAGATACGAGCGAGTTGGGGAAAGAGAGCAAATATAAGGAGGTGCATTACCAAGCTGGCCACAGCTCCATGTGAAACTGATTGCTCAGTCCTGCAGGATGTCTCAGAGAGACCCTATGACACCACCCATCCTCTTTCCCCGGGGGAATAAGGGAGGAGGAGTTGGTGTCTGACTCTCATCTTCCATTGGCCCCTGTTTGCCAGTGGCCATTTCTGGATTGTGTCTGTTTGGGTATCATGTGGGTCCTAGTATCTTGTGTCTCCGTGGTGAAAAGAAAGCCCCGCAGCAGAGGCTGAGCTGCCGGAAATAGGCAGCATGGCACGTGAGAGGCACTGCATCAGCTGCCCATTGCTGGGGAACCAACGCCCCTAGCACCTGATGACTTAAAACAACAACCATTTCACTTGTTCACAAGCAGTTTGGGCTGGTTCTGTGGAGCCTGTTGGCCTTGCCGGGGCTGATCCACATGGCTGCAGTCAACCGATGGCTTACCTGGGGCTCACCTGGGGCTGGATGGTCCAAGGTGGATACACTCACATGCCGGGTGGATGCTGCCTACCGATGGCAGGACCTCTCTCTTCACACGATTCTTCACCCTCGAGGGGGCCCGCCGGGGCTTCCCGGCATGGCAGCATCATGTTCCAGTAAGGGCGGGGGACAAAAGGCTGAGGCTCGGAAGTCACATAGGGTCATTCCCACACATTCTCTTGATCAAAGATGTCACAAGGTGGGCCCAGATTCAATGAAGGGGAAACAGGTCTCTTGATGGGAGGAGGAAGAGAGACACCTCGCAACGGGCACACAGGCAGCAACGTGAGGGACCACTGCCGCTGCCTTTACAAACCCTATAAAGCGAGCGTTGTCACTTTACGCCTGCAAGCAGGCCTCGGATCCATGGCGACGGTGGAGGCAGCATCAGCCTCCAGGCTCCAAGACAGACAGAAGAGCATGAGTTCTAGTTACAGTCACGCTGACCCGACTTCAAGCAGAACGTGTGGATCTGGGTGGCTCGTACCTACGTCCAGGTCAGAATGTACACTATTTTAGAGGCCGATAGGGTAATATCTAATCAAGTTGAGGGCATGCCTATACTGCAACATCAAAACTCCACTTCTACAAATTCTCACAGATGTTCACAAGGTGAGAACAAATGTATTCATGGTAACATTGAAATTGCAAAAGACTGGAACAGTCTCCAAGTCTATCAACAAGGGAATGGATAAATGAACTCTGATATATTCATTTAATGGACTATGATACAGTAACTACAATGATATAGATGTATCAGTGTGAATACATTCCAGAAATTTAATGACAAGTGCAATAAAGAAAGTTGAAGGAGATACACATGTTGATATATTTTGCATTTCTTTTTGTTTTTTTTTGTTGTTATTTTTTTTAACTTTATTTATTTTGACAGAGAGAGAGAGAAAGAACAGGGGAGGGGCAGAGAGAGAAAGGGAGAGAGAGAATCCCAAGCAGGCCCCATGCTCAGTGCAGAGCCTGACATGGGGCTTGAACCCATGAAACGTGAGATCCTGACCCGAGCTGAAATCAAGAGTCAGACAACCAACTGAGTCATCAAGGCGCCCCATAATTTGTATAAGTCTTTTAAAAAACCCACAAAATGATATCTTATTATAATTTAAGTATGCAAACATACATTACAGCAGTATAAAACACAGGGAAAAGAAACTCTCAACCTCAGGAAATTGGTATCTCTGGGGGAGAGGAAAAGGATTAGGGGAGGGTTGTCAAAATTTTACAACATTGTATTTATTAAAACAAAAGTATCTGAAGTAAATACAAAATGCTAACTTCTGTTATATGTGGGCCTTAGGTTCATGGATTTTTGTACTATCGTTTTCTAATGTGTGATAAAAAATAAAAACAAGTATTCCTACGAGGCACTAAGAGACCTCAATTCTGATCTGGATTCAGCTTCTAAGCTTGCTCCTGGGTAGAAGAAACAAGTCTGGGAGAGATACACCCCAAAATGCACATGGTGCCGACCTGTGGGTGATGAGATTTTAAATTATCTTTATTTGCTTGATTTTTATTGCAGTATTTAGTGCTGCTTCTATGTTTGGTTATCAGGAAAAAAATAAGATATTTTCAAGAAACCTTGTTCTTTGGAACTTTAAAACCACATTGTGCATCACAAGCAAAAATGAACGGAAATCACCATTTTGTAGATTGAACATTGGCCTTCGTTACCTCACACCAGTCTTCTTCACACAGCATGTACAATTGGACATCAAATCCTGCTGCACACCAGCATGCCTGGGCTCAAGGTGGGGGTGGGGGCAGGGGTATTACGTGACAGAGAAGGCTTTCCCTCATTGGAAAGTGGATCCCTCAGCCTATTCCTTTATTAAATAATCCTTGGGGTGTCTGGGTGACTCAGTCAGTTAAGCTTTAGACTTCGGCTCAGGTCATGATCTCATGGTTTGTGGGTTCCAGCCCAACTACGGGCTCTGTGCTGACAGCTCAGAGCCCGGAGCCTGCTTGCCATTCTGTGTCTCCCTCGCTCTCCGCCCCTCCCCTGCTCACTCTCTGTCTCTCTCTCTCTCAAAAATAAATAAATGTTTAAAAATTTTTTTTAAATAATTCTTGGCAAAAATGGCCTACCCGAAGGGAGGAGCCCCTTCAAGGTATCACCTATTTCTAAACACAAGCAATGACCAAAAGGATACCTGAGTGTACACAGCACTGGGCACGTGTGCTGATGTGTTCAGCACTCTCGCGGCACAGGACCCTGGGGATTCTTTGGAGCAACCACTCTAGTGTCTCTATCAGGGGGCTCCATCCCCCTCCTACCCACCAGTAAATGACGGCAGCTTGTTTGAATCATCACTAGCAAATGTCACAAGCTGCATGATTGCAAGAGGGATTTGTACGGAGAGCACAGAGGCAGCTCACTATCCCAGCCCCTGAGCTCATTCAGCAGATTTCACCACGAGTGAGTCCGGGGGTGCAACTCAAAGCTAGCTTAAGCCAAAAGGGGGGGGATCACATTCAGCTTATTTAACTGGAGGACACAGGGGTGGAACCAGGGACTCAGAGTCCGTCAGCAGGGCCGTTTCTCAGTTTTCCATCTCGGCTTCTCTCTTTGTGTTGATCTCATTCTTCCTTCAAGGAACTCTGTCCAGCGGGGAGGAGAGAAGAAAGGGAAATGACAGGAGGCGGTTCCAGAATTACCTCCTGCCAGCTCAGCATCCAAGAGGAAGGAAAGGGAGAGTCACTAACACTATCAGCACATTTCATCTCATGAATGACTCCGATGAGACCATCTTGAGCCTCCTGTCCACCATATGTACTGATCATTAAGGCCAGAGAGCAGGCCAGGCTTGGGCCACACGCCCAAGCGGGGCACGAGGCAGCATATACAGACTGGTGGCCTCGTCGAAACTGATGACATAAGCATGGAGGAGCAATTGTCTAATGGAAGAAAGTGTGCTCTCATCTGAGGAAGGGAGGGAGGAAGACTGAGGAAACAAAACTGAGTGACCGCCCCCATGCATGTAGGATACAGAGCTCTTCCTCTGCAACCAAGTCTCTTAAGCAGTACAGAAGCATCTCCCCATGAAGTATGCCCGTCCTGCCCCCCTTTCTAAGTGATGTGTGGGGAAGCCCTCAACAGTAAAAGGAGAAAAGTTCTTGTAGCTGTTTGTTGGGCTGGGGGCTCACTTTGAATTAGCCCAAACTCCCCCTTCTCCCCAGCACAGTTACCATTCCTTCCCCTTGCTTCTCTGTTCTTATCCATCTCCCTTTTTTCTAAAGACAATAACCTTCGTGTTTTTAACTTTCCCTAGTGATAAAAAAAAAATTTTTTTTAAGGTTTATTCATTTTTGAGAGAGTACGAGTGGGGGAGAGGCAGAGACAAAGAGGGAGACACAGAATCTGAAGCAGGCTCCAGGCTCTGAGCTGTCAGTACAGAGCCCGATGCGGGGCTCGAACTCACGAATTGTGAGATCATGACCTGAGCCGAAGTCGGTTACCCAACCACTGAGCCACCCCAACCTTCCCTCGTGATAAATAAAATGTACTCCTGGCATCTTAAGAGCAAGTCCTTGTATTTTAGGGGCACAGAACTATGACTGAAAGGAAAATTGCAAGCTAATCTCACTTATGAACCTATACCCCCAAATCCTAAACAAATCACTGTTTGCAGGATGGCCTCAAATGCTAGTCAGCACTGTACGAAAACAAAAAGAAATAAAACATATCAGGATCGAAAAGGAAAAACGAATACTGGCATTATTTGATATGACTATTTTACACAGAAAATCCAAAGCAATTGACAAAGTACAGAACTAATAAGGCTTCAGTCAATTGCTATCAACACACACACACACACACACACACACACACACACACATTGTTTTTCTATGTACTGGCATGCACTATATGCTAACTAACTTGGATGTAAATTTAAAGGTAAAAAAAAAAGTAGATATTTTTAAAGGTACCATCAGAAAAGTAATAAAAAGCTGTAACTTATCTAGGAATGAATCTAACATAAGATGTGCAAAGAAACAAATTTTTACAAAGAAACAAATTTTCCTTTACAAAGAAACAAATTTTTTTTCTTGAAAGATATAAAGGAGAAATGGAATAAATGGAAAGAAGCACCATGTTCATGGAAGGAAAAACTCTATGCCATGAAGGTGTCGCTTTTCCATAAATTGATATATAACTTAGTAAAATTACAATCAAAATCCCATCAGGGTTTTTTGTGGGATGGTTTCAGGGTAGTTGGTTTCCACCAGGGGATGGGCCCCAGGAAAGGGTCCACAGCACAGTGACCTGTGGCAACAGCCTCACCTCTCTGCCATCATCCCAGAGTGATGGGATCTGGGCAACAGTCCCATTCACCCCAATGAGGTGTTGAGCAGGAGAATCCCGAGTTGGGCCTATGACTGGATGTATTTCAGCATCAGCTGAGTTCTGTGTTTTTGAAAGAGGAGCAGTGGAGAAAATTGGTTCCTGCTATTTCTACTACTCAGGAACCAAAGCCTTTTCAACCCTGGGAGCTGGCCAGCTAGGACATAATAAATAACCCCACCAGTGGAAAAAACGCCTTCATTTCATTCCATGAGTTTATAAATCAGTATGTTACTCAGTTATCCCCTGACTTCATCTAATATTTTTCTCCATCACTCCACCGTTGGGGATAGTGTCCTACAGGAAAAACTTACATTCTGAAATGTGCATTTCATCTTCTTCCAATATGGAAAAGAAGGCTCAGTGAAGAAGGAAGAGTGAGCAGCCGTTGCCAGCTTTCTGCTTGGAAACAAGCCATGGAAAGGCATCCAGGAAGAATCTTGCTAGAAGATGACTCTATCAGGCCAGATCAGGAGTTTATGGCCGAAGGCTCACGCAGGGGACTCCGGTGACCCACATGGAGAAGAGCTGGCCCCTTCCCCTGCTTCGGGCTCTGTTCCTCCAGTCTGGAGGAAGCCCTGTGACACAACTCGGGTGGAAAGATGAACCCCAACCATGGCACCCATGCGTATGTGGTACCTCATGGTTTGCAAATCATTTCATCTCACTTGATCCGCACAACGATCCTGTGACTGTTGCCATTTGAAAAATGGGGAATATGGCATTTTAGAAATGGGGAAGCAAACCCAGACTCCAAATTCACAGCGAGCAAGTAAACAAGCCAGAACTCATGTCCATGTCCTACTCTCTTCTGTGCCCCCATTCTCTTCTGTACGTCACCGCTTCCTGCGGCGTTACCCCCAACCCCCACCTGTGGGACCTCTTCCAGTCAAGGCCCTGCAGCGGCGGCTTCGCTCTTCTGAGGGCAGATGGAGGCATGTGGTTAGTCCACAGGCAAGACCGAAAGGCGGGTCTTTTGGTACCTTAATCAATGTGCTGTTCCTAATGAGAAAGGCGCTTCCTCCAAATAAGGAGTTTCAAAGGCGACCGGCAGCACCTTGTGTGCTTGCCGGCGCTTTCCTCCTGGGGCTGCGCGCAGAGCTCGCACCTGGCCAGCCCACTGCTGACACCTTGTGGCCGAGGAACAGAGTTCCTGCTCATTTCCTCTCGGAGTCCCACCAAGCGAGGAAGCTGGAAGCTAGGAACCAGCCAGATAGCCTTCTTCTATCCTTCCTGGGCTCCCCTGGCGACTGTCTCCTCTAAAGCGAAGTGCCAGGCCCGCATGGGGGCTGGTGTAACCCTTAGCGGGTGGCTGCAGAGCTTCCCTGGGGCCCCGAGGCCACCCAGCTTGCCACTGTGAAACCACGGAAGCAGTCACAGGGCCCTCTAGGTGGCACCTGCTGTCCAAGGCGGTAACCAGCACGCATGGCACTCACCAAACGGGCAGATGAAATAAGGGTTCGCCCATAAAAATAGGCGTGAGCCAGACATCTGACCACCGGCTCTTCTTCGGGGCCCTGTGCCTGCGGCGGCAAACGGACAGCCTCCGAAGGTGGGCAGGGCGCACCCGCGGGCACTAGAGCTTGTGCCAGATGGCCTCTTTGGGCAGCCATTGAGGCAAATGACACTTTAGAGGCAGAAGTCATTGTTCTGGCGTCAGCAAGAACACGCTTCAAATTCTAAGGAGACCCTGCCAGTAGCAGGAAGCAAGGTACCATCATCTCATCGTGGACCGCGGCAGAGGCATCTGGCCATGGAGAGTCTTGTCACTGTTTTAAGGTGTGGTACGCAATTATTTTAGCTCACGGCATTTTTAACGTTCCGAATACTAATCCTCAGCGTGGCTGTGGTTCGCTTACTTCACTTCATGAGAATTTAAGATAGTTCTAGTTCAAACTACCATGCTGTCCCACTGCGCTAAGTAGCTAAGGGTCTTGAATCAGGACTGCATCCCCAGCCCTCTGTTTCTCCACCTGCAAAATGGGAAGTTTGAACAAATCTGTATTTCTTAAAGGGTGGGTTGTGAACATATGTGCGCCACAATTGCCTGATCTTTAATTAAAGACCCAGGTTTCACAATTGCTCAGCTGGGGTCTGAGAATCTGCATTTGAACCCCTTCTTTGGGTCATTCTCATGCATAGATGTTTGAGAATGACTGAACAAGGTGATCTAGCGTCTAAGATCTATCGAGATACCATTGTGCACTCGGCACAGACCAGAGAAGACGCTCAAAGAGCCCACGGTCTTTTTGGGAACAAGGATGAGTGAACAAAAAGACATAGTGAGTCTTACTATAGTAAGTATAGTGTTGTCACAAATGCTGTGGCAGAAAGGAGGAGAGAGTGGGAAACTGCCTGGGGACATCATCCCTGAAGGCTCCACGGAGAAAGAGACGCCAGACTGATCTGGAGAGATGGGTTCACCAGGTGACTGAGGTCAGGAGGGGCTCTGCGGGCATCCTGAGCTGCATGTGACTTTCCACTGCTGTCCTGGGGCTGGGGCAGTTAGAGACCTGAAGCCCCGCCCCGACAGTGAGGCCAGCATCTGTAAGAGGAGAGCAGCACACTAAGGATTAGCCTGCCGTTTTCATTTGATCCAAAAATGGATCCAAAGCTCTGGTAATCTCATCCTCTCCTTCCAAAGCAGTAAGAGGTCAGGTCCTCACCGAAGGAGTGCCCACGGGTGGGGCCGGTACTGTCCACAGAGCACATGTGGGCAGGGCTGGGGGTGTCCACAAAAGCGAGCCTGGGATTTTGTGTCAACAAATCACTTTCTCAATAAAGGACATTTAAAAAAAAATAGTCCTTGTTTTCCTTCCTATTTCTCTTTCCCCTTCCCCCCCCTTTTTCCTTTCAATTTCTTTAATATTTAAATTTCCTTAATATTGAAAACTGTTTACTTCCAGGAGCTTTTAGAAAGATGTACCAAGAAAACACCTTGAGTTACTTACTACATGGGATCTAATCCATATTCTTAAATCTGCCCTGAATCCCTCAGCCTGAGTTCTGCCCAGACCTTCTTACCCAGATGGCCATTGTCCATGGCCTCCACCCAGTGGCCTTGGGCAGACATTGAGAAGTGCAGGACCATTCTACCCGTCTTCTGCTGGTATGTGCTGGGGCCTCGTCCTGTCAGCTCACGAGAGCCAATTCTCCATTTTCAGGAATATTTCAGGAATATTTTGTTAAATACAGACATTTTTAGATATTAAATTGCATGCATTACAATTAAATAAGAAATGCTAAACACAAAACTAAAAGATGCCCCAAACTCATCACTTCCCAATTATTTTACCACATTATACTGTTATCTGTGCTCCTGAGGTTATTCATACCTGTTATATCCAAACAGTGGAAATATTGCATAATGAGGTGGCACTGCCTGGGTCTTGCCAACTCCAAGTTCAGTGGTGTCACATTGTTAGTTTGAAATCGATTGTGGTGAAAATATTTACACCACAGAAATCAGCGTATGCTAGAAATCAGGGCTTGGTTTACGATTATGTTAATTGTCTGGACTTAAGAAAGTGATGGAAAATGTTAATAATGAGAATTTAACTTAAAAACATGTCATATCTACGGCTGTTACATTGTGGATAGCGCAAAAATTTGAGGAAATATCGTTCTAGTATTCAGAAAGTAGAATTTGGTCTAGAAAAGAAGTTGCTTGTGTCATTGATGAATGAGCAAAGTTCCAACCTATGTCTCTATGGTCTTACTTTTGTCTCATATGTTACCATACAGGGAAATATCACCGAATAGTCGTTCAGCAATTGAAACCAGGTACAGGTACAAGAATTCAACAAAAACAACAAAAGCATTCTGTGAGAATCCCTTTTATAACAAAGAGTGCATACCTTATTATTATTTGTAAATTGTGTGCTGCTCATCCTTCATAGCAGCAAAAATGTATATTAAATGTGTGTGTGTGTGTGTGTATGTGTGTGTGTGTGTGTGCATTTTTTCCCCCAGAGAGCCCTTAGTTAAACATTTACCAGTGCACCATTAATCTTCTCTGGGCTTTGCTTCTGTGGAACACAATTCACACCCATCAAGGCTGCAAAACCAGTAGTTAGTTTTAATTGCTGTGGTGGCTGATAGGAGCACTGGATTGAGAGTCCACGAAGATCCAGGTTCTCATCTGGGTACTGCCAGTCACTAGCTACCTGCCAAACCACTCAGCCTTTCTCAGTCCCCCCATGTGCGTAAATACGTAAGTGGGTGCGTTGAACAACATGAACGGTAAAGTCCATTCCAGCTCCAAACTGTTATGATCTATGACTCTGTGGGCAAGAGAGGACTCCAAAGTTACAGGAATGCAATCCAGGAAGTTTGGGATGTGCAAACATACCAACCTAAGGACTCCCAACTCCACACTTCAGTGTCAATGTCATTTGTGAAGTCACAGATAGGTTTTAAATGTTCCCATGTCATCAGGTTACTATACTTTCGATGAGAATGACATGAATTTTAGGCAAAGGAGAAGAGAGAGGCCTTACCTGTAAAGAATGTCTTTCGAGGCCCATCTGAGATGAGATACTGTAATTCTGTCTGTGGGGATGGGAGTGAGAAAGATGCACTAAGTATGCTCCTCAGGCAAGGACACTGCTGTCATATCTTCCACAGCCCCTGTCCCTCTCCTTCTGGACTTGGCTTTCCTGCTCCTAGGGGACAATTCTTGGACCCTGAGGTCTCCCCCGTGGCAGAGGCAGGGCCAGCTGAGGTAGCTCAATACCCAGTGAGTGATGGTCCACAAAATCTAATCATTAACTAGAAAGTACTTTATCCCTCACACAGTGGCTTCGTAGCCTCCCCAGTTTGGGGCAGGAAATGGTTAAGCACCACAGTCCTGATCCAGAACAGCCACAGGCAGGGGAGGGGCGGCCAATTAATAACACTACACAGGAAGTGTGGGCCTCCTTCTTTCTGCCCAATGGGGAAATTCATTTTCAATCCTGACCTCAATGAGGAAGTTACTCTTCCTGCCAAAAGGAGTGGAGTGCAACCTTCTCTATCCCCACAGCACAGCAGAACCAGAAGATAGAAGGCAGACAGAGAGAAACAGCACTGAAGGCAGAGCAAAACGCGGGGAGGGACAGAGCGGGCAGCTCGACAGAGACAGCCCTTTGCAGTAGTACGATGACACGACTCAACACTCACTCGCTCACTGAAATGGAGGACGAGGCTGGGAAACGAGAAAACACTAGCTGAAGTGAAACAGTGGGAGACACAGAAAAAGGTCAGCAAACCTAGAAGAGCCTAGACAGACCGGACCCCATCACCGACATGTTCCTTAGCAGAGAGTAAATGGAAGACATACCGGAAGGCCACTGGATACTTTTTATTACAGCATACAGTTTAAATTAATACATGACAGGGGCGCCTGGGTGGCTCAGTCAGTTGAGCGTATGGCACTTGATTTCGGCTCAGGTGATGATCCTGCCATTTGTGAGACTGAGCCCCACGTTGGGCTCTGCTTGGTGCAGAGCCTCCTTGGGATTCTCTCTCTTTCTGCCCCTCCTTGCTCACAGTGTCAAAATAAAATAAACATTAAAAAAATACCCCAGTTTTTTCTGGCTGTATAACACCCCAAGTTGAAGAACCTCTCTAGAAACTGTTTCAGATTGACAGGTGGCGCAGAAAGATACTGACCCCGTGGGTAAAGTCCCACCTCTGATGCCTAGAGGGAGAAGGGCCAGGGGAGTAGACTTTGTGCAATGAGATCCTCAGGGGGTCTGTTTGCATGCAGGCCTGCGACATGTCTGCACATCCACACACTCTATCATCCAAGGTCCTGTCAGGAAAATAGAAAGCACCTCAGACATTTACACGCAAGGTGATTCAATGAAGGGGACTGGCTGCACTGGGGACCGTGAGCTGAATAGCTGGATGGGGGACAGCGAGGTAACCCCGAGGCTGAAGGAACAAAGGGAGGAAGCTGTTATGGGAGCTGCAATACTAAGGGCTTTCTAGAGGGGACTGGAGTCACAGAGGAAAGAAAGCTGCCCGAGGCAGAGAGAGGGGGAAAGAAATGCCTCCTCCCGAGTTCCCATTGGCTGAATTCAGCCAGGGATCCCCTGCTAGACAGAGCTGAGCCGGGAAAGGTAAGCTAGCATACCTGCTGTCACTGAGTCCTGGAAGTAACCCTAAAAGCAGGTATTATAATCCCCATATGACTGATGGAGAAACCAAGCCTCAGAAACATTAAAAACCAATACAGCCGACAGCACACATCAGTAAACTGTGGAGCTGAGACAGAAGCTTAGGTCTTCCATCCATACATCCACACTCGGTCCATTCTCCTCATTTGGTCCTGCAGTGGTGTGGGGGGCAGGGATGTCTATTGAGCCACATGGCACTTCCAAGCTTCCAACGGTAGTGGTCCTTAACCTCCTGCTCGGTCTTGTGCCGGGAGCCATGGTCAAGGGTGCCACATGGCGCTGTGGCTTGTAGGCCAGAGCCAGGATGGCCAGCCAGGGTGGTGGGCTCATGGAGGGTCTTGCCCAACCTCCCTGAGCCTCCGTGAAAGGCCTCTGTGTGCTCTTCAGAAGGCAGAGCAATGGGCCAATGCACAGTCTGTGCCAGCTAATTATCTAGCCCTCCTTCTGCTCCCTGGAGGACCCAGCCTGCTGGATGGATCGACGTTCTGTGTTTCTAACGTCAGATGGCCTGGTGCCACCTCTCAGCGGGACTGGTGTTTGGTTCATCCTTCAGGTTCCCATTTGGCACACAGACCACAAACATCTGCTGGGGTTCTGTTTGGCCTGTGGCAGACTTCAGAGCCGAGAGGGATGGAGAAAGGTGGGGAAGGAGGCGGGGAACTGGGGGAAGGAAGGAAGCCGAGGGCAGCCTTTCCTGCAGAGTTAATCAGACACTGTGTGGTGGGGGAGGCTTGATCCTACACCCAGTCCCAAAGAAGGGAAAGGCAAAAGAGACAAAGAATGTTCATGGAATTTCATTGGAAAGCCTGAAGTACCGTCTGTGGATGCTTTTCCTCCATTGCTTTGCTTCCCCCAACTGTTCCTTTTCTCACCAGTTGGCTATTATTTTCTAACGCATTTTGATAATTACTTTATCAATCAACAAAGATAAACAAAAGCCTAAAAATACATCCGAGTGAATGAATTCCCAGAGCCAACCAATCCTCAACACTATGATTTTTATGGGTTTTTGTTGTTGTTGTTGTTGTTGTTGTTGTTGTTGTTTTTGGTTTTTGGCTTTTTTCTACCCAGACGTGCTTGGGAAACAGTTGAAGGGCTTGATTCCTCATTCACTGAGGGTTCAGTAGACTATATTAACCAACCTCTGCTCTTCTGGCACTCATATACAGGGCCAAGAAATTCAACGACTTAAGGAAATGCTATCCAAGTAAAATAAACACCCTAAAAAGATGCGCCTACAGTCTTATCCTTATTAAAATGATTCTTTGCCTTTAATTTGTTATTAAATCAATAGAATATTGGGTCAAGCACCTCATGAGCCACCTTTTAAAAAAGTAAAACGCAGGGAGTTTGTATCATTGCACGGCTATTATTTAGGAAGAAGAGGTGTCCAGAATCTCAGTGAATGGACCTCATATTTCAGAGGCCAAAATGCTGTCTAGATATGCCCTGTGAGTGACTGGACATAAGTCCCACCCACTAGCTCCCTCTGTCTCTCACAGAGCAGCCCAGCTGGGCTTGGCTTATTAAGAGCCCTGGGGAGAGGCCAGCACTGCATTAGGGAAGAGGCATTAGCCTCAACTTTTGCCTCAGTCCTAAATCCATGACTTTAGAATGAAAAAGTCAATGGGGGTGAAGCACCCCAATGACCAATTGGAAAGGCACGCTCCCCCTCCCACCCCACCCCATCACTTCCCAAATTAACAGTGTCCCCTACCGAAAGGAGGTCTGGGTTCTCTTTCCTATCAAAATCAGCACAGGACCAACATATTCAGTGACTATTCCCAACAATCCATTGCAGGTACTACAGGGATATCAGACCTGAAGGAAATCATCCAATTTATAGCTGCTCACGTAAAAGCCATCAGGAGAATCGTGAAATGATTCTCCATATGGTGCCCTGACGCTTCCAAAAACTATACGAGAAAGAGGCTTGGAAGGAATTCTTTCCTTTTCAGAGACAAGGAGGGTAGAAACCAAGCATCTGTGGCAACCTGGAAAAGACACTCCTCCCCGACACCCACCCCCTGCATCCCTGGGGTGGCCTGGAGGATCCGTCTGCGCTGTGGCCCAGGCACACGGGGTCACCGACACTGGCTTGTTAGGCTTTTCCATTGACCAAGCTTATGTTTTCTAGTATAAATGAACTCTACGGTTACATTGTGTGGAAGCTTAGAGACATGGTTTGCCAAATGGAAAAACATTTGGAGGTTGGGAAAATATCTTGCACATAAATTACTGAAGGCATAGAGAATCTAAAAGAGGGATGAAATCAGAAGCCAAGGAAAAGCCGGGAGGGTGCCAAAGTAAAAATGGAGAGAGAGAGACAGAGACAGGGAAAGCGATGTAATGATTTCTCTTAATGACCTGCCTTCAGACCGAAAAGGCAAGTTTCTAAGCCATGTTTGAGCCTCATAAAAGCCATGTGCCTGAGTATTGGGAAATATCCTTTAAATGGTAAGATCAAGCCCTCCTTTTTCATCCTTTCTGAGTGGAGCTCTCCATTGATTTTGTTAAGTGCTGGCCACCAGTAAGAAACACAAAAAGCTCGTTGTCTTGGACCGTGGCAAAGGCCAGTTACACACTTGTTAATTTCCTGATTTATGACACTGAGAAGGTGGAGTCAAGACAGTGCTTCTTCTCTCCTTCTCCCTGTCTCTGTCTCTGTCTCTCTCTGTGTCTCTCTGTGTCTCTCTTTTGGTGGTGGTGGTGGAAACTATTAAAACAGAGGCAGATCAGGAAGTTTGTGATAAAGAGAAGCCAGGCTCTCGTCTGACATACAATCTCTCTCTTGGCTTAAGTAAACTTGCTCCTTCAAGGCCTGCCATCAACAGAGTCGGGCTCACGTTTCACCACTAAATCTGAGTCAACAATCTCTAATCTGGACACTGGGTTCAGAATCCAGGCTCAGGTTGCACTTGGAAGCTGACAGCAGGGACGAGAGCAGAGGAAAATACGGCCTTTGTTTCTGGTTTGATCGTCCCCACCGAGCGGAGCTGAGGTCATGTGTCGTTTTCTGTCATCAACAAGATAAAAGTTTGCACCTCTCTGGCCCTGAAATGGCTCTCCTGCCATTTATATTAAGGCCAGCGAGCTCTCTGCCCCAGGATTGGAGGGCCAAGTTTGTAGAGAGCTAAGATTTGGAGTCCTTTTCATCTTTCTGACATGTGATACCATGACATAGGCGGCCCTCGCTGGGTTGCTATGCAGATATACAATTTCTGAAAAGTTACACCCGGAAAACGAAAACCCCGGGCTGGATTAGCATTTCACAAAGAACAGGGATAAAATGTGTAGCAGTTAGGCTAAAAAGCTAGAGAGAGAGACAGAGAGAGAGAGAGAGAGGAGAAAAGAAAAAAAAGCGAATTAAAGTTTCATGAAAACAAACTCTTTTTTAAAGAATCAATAAGTATAAAAGTATCTCATTGCATTCCTGGCCTTTGGTCCTGAGCCGCGATCCAGCTACTGTGTGTGAAGGAGACACTGCAAACCAAACGGCAAGGCAGGAAAGGAAGGTCTCGGTGCAGGATGGGGTTTGGGGGTGCTGGGAGTGCACAATAAAAAAGGGTGCTGTTGCTTTATAAAACTCTTCTATCTACCTACAGTGGTTTTCA